AGTACCTATTCTTACATGCATATGGGCTAAGCTTAGCCACTGTATCCTAAGAATAGGTTGTCAAAATATTTCTTCAAGATATTCACTTTTTAACAACGCAGTTCTGCTTATCTAGTTGATTCACTAGATTAAATGCACGGGACAGAAACTCTAAAGCTATACTGATAAGGTACCACTTCTGTTTATCCATAAAACCACAAAAAACCCAACCTCACAGGACTGTAAGAAGGAGAACAGAAAGGCCATCTAAACACTCTGACACCACCTCCCGCAATGCCAGGGCTGATATCTTCTGTCATTACATTCACCCAGATCATCCAAAAGAAAAACAGAGGTACCTCCCTGTGTCCAAGATAGTCTAGTTATTTCAGACAAATAGTCAAAAGCAACCCTCCAAATGAAAACTTTTTATCTCAAGTGACTTGTGTGGTTCTTTTGTACCCCCAGTGCTTCTGAAAATTCTGAGTAATCGCCCAATGTGGGAAAGCACAAGAATGGTAAGAGATAAGATTAGATCAGACAGTGGGTTCACATCGTTCTTGACAAATACATGCAATGTGTTGTTCCAGCTCATGTTCCAGTAACCAAGACCTGTAACTGTTATCTAGGGACTTCGGCTGCGGGAACAATATACAATTAAGTACAAGGAGCAAGTTTGACAAATGAGCCCACATATCCAACAGAAGTACCTGTGTGAGTCCTCTGGTGCGCTTTTAAGTGTGAGCTCTTTGTATAAACCTTTCGGCACCCATTAAACTGACAGCGATGAACCCTCTTCTTGTTTTCGGGGGATGCGTCACCCCCTGCCCCTCCTTGCTCAGTGTCGCTGAGCGCACACTTTGTTGTGCTGGCCGGAGTTACCGCACCGACTTTTACTGAGCTGAGGGCAGCTTTCTTTGCCACTAATTTCAGGGTAACTGTGCCATCCACTGCAGAGACAGTCTGTGAGGTTTTTACAAGATGACGACTGAGCTCAGGAGAGGAAGGGGGCGTTAATGAGGTCACTGCGTTGAGTTGGGCCTGGTTAACGGCAGTGTAACTCTCTGTAGAGGAGCTGGTAGGCTGTAGGTTGTGGCAAGTCTCAGATAACAATTTGTCCCGTGAGAGAATAACGTCCATGTTGGTGTTTTTGTCACAAGTACTCATGTCTACTGGTAATAACAGAGGGTCCAATCGCTGGATACTGTCTTCCGTGCCGTGAGCTGAGGAATTATGAAGAAAACACTCCAAGTCATCACCAAAACTTTCTGAGATCTTTCTAGGCTCTGTCTGAAGATATCGTTCAAGCTCAAGGCATGTCTGTGGAGACACAAGGGGAAAAGAAGCCGCCATTAGTAGGGAGGTTACGAATACTGAGGGTGGGAGGGGGAGAGCATTCTTGGCAATTTTCCACTTTCAGCACCAAGACTCCCCACCAAGACTTCCCTGAAAACTGAGATTTCCCTGCTTCATGCAAAAACAAGACCTCAGTCTCATCCTTTCACTTCTGGTTCCCCAATTTCTGCCTGCTGTTCTTCACAGGAATTCTGAACAGCTGAATTCCCTTTCTGATGAACTCTACAGAGGCAAGATGCCATTTCGCACAGCAATTCTAATAGTCTACTGCAGCATGGCATTTCTTCCATTTTAAAAAAAATGACCACAGAACTGTGACATTTCTTCCCATGAGCCATCTTGAAGCGTACAGAGAAATTCCCTCCACAAAGAGAAAATAGATCCCCCCCCCACTTTAGGTTTCTTGCTGAGAGTGAGAAGGGTATGAGATTCACAACCCTCTATATTAGACAGTGAAACCCAGTAAATGCCAAGAAATAAAAAGAGAAGCATATTAACTGCCTTACACAGATCCACACTGTCAGGCCAAAACATCATACAAAAGAAGGCAGAAATCACCCATAACAAAGATTAGGCATACTAAAAAAAAAATCTTAAAGTAAGAACAATGAGTGACACTGCCAAGGAGGTTTGTATGTCACAATACTTGAATTGTAGGGATGGAGGTAGTGGAAAGAAAGGAGAAGGAAAAGATCCTTTTTAGTTGCCTAGCAACCACAGGAGCAATCACTTAAAAATCAACCCCCAAATGTAGGAGAGTGCTCAATAATCAGTTCTGAGTCAAACCCCCAAATGTTTGCTTAACTGCAAAGTAACAGCATTTTTGTTAGATGCCTTGCATGCTTTTAGTAGATAGGCAAGGTTATAAATAATTCAAATAAATAAATAAAAATAGAAACTCTTTCCCACCTTCCTTCTGCAGGCCAATACAATATTCAAACAGGAACTGAGAGTTGAGCATGGCAATGAGGAATTGCATTTTTTTAGACTTGCAAGGAAAGACATCTACAGTCTATAGATATTTACAGAAGGCCAAACACAAGATGACATGGGCTGCTAAATTAATTTCACCTGGTAAAAACATACATCAAAATCATCTTTGAAGGGCACAAGTTTAGCTAAAAGCAGCATGGGTTGAGGTGTTAAGTGTATAGCCTTTTTTCAATACAGAGTCTCTGAGCACTGGTTCCTGGGGGAGAGAAGCAGAGAGGCAAATCTCAAGGCAAGCAACACTGGAGGAGATTTGATGCTTTGGATGGGATGGTTTTAAAGCCTGGCACCAGGCTCACTGGCAGAGTGTAGAGATGTCTTTTTTAATGTGTGCAGTGGTTGTGCAAGACTGGCACACCAGAAGCCAAGGCGCAAAAGAAGGGGAGACAGGGTGAGAGCAGTGAATGCACACACTTAGGTCTGCTGTCCTATCTGAAGCAAGACATGGAGTGGAGTATGTTCAGTGGAACTCATCTGCCTTCTTGCTGTACAGGTTCTGGTTTTGTTCACAGCACCTGGTAAAGCTCCAACTGTGCCGTGTGTGCCATAGGTAAGACAATAGGAGATACAAATTCTAAAAGTAATCATGGCAATCACTGCAGCCACAGAATACATTGTCCTACCTGAATGGCTGCCAGATGTGTGTTCACCCTCTCCAACTCTATGTTGCTATGTCATCTGGCCAGCTGGGTTCAATCTGGATTCCTACTAAGTCCCTTTCCACAATCTGCCAGCTCAGAAGCATTTCTTGCCTGCTTCCCATCCCTTTTTGCCCTGCTTTTGTCACATCATTGGACCCTTTCCTATCACATCACAAGAAGCCCCGTGCCCGGCCTCAGGGCTGTGGGGATGCTTCTGAACGAAGAAGCCCACTTCCCACTCTGGGAATTTTCTCATCCAAAAGTGTATGGCCCAAGTTCAACCTCCAAATACAAGGGGAAGAACACAACAAGAAAGCAAACTGCTAAAGTGAATGATCTTGGAATTGATTCAATGAATTGAATTGAATCAATTTATTGTCATTGAACATATATATATATATACATACAATGAAATTCACAAAGAACACTGAGACCAGACCAAAAATACCGACCCCATAACAATCCCTAAATCCCAGAACCCTGCCTAGAGCTCACAGTATCCACACAACGATGAGCTTTTGCATCACTGGAATGATGCAAAATGATTTCGCTCAAGTGCGACACAACTTCCAAGTACAAATGAAAGCATCTCGGTCAACGAGTCAACAAAACCTTAGCCTCCATTAGATCAAAACTTAGTATGTGGGGGTTGGAGGGGGGAAGATACACATATATAAGCAAACCATTTTAATCCTATTTTTGCAAAATCTGTCTTGACTTGTGCCTTCTCTGAGCCGGTGATAGCTGGCTGAGCAGAGCCATCAAGACTGGACAACTGGGGTGTCAGAGCAAAACTGAACTTAGGAAACAGTTTTTGTGGAATCTCTCCCCAACCCAGTACTTTAAAAACTGAACATTCTTTGAACCAGGAGAGACCACTAGGTGGAAAAAAAATTGAATGCAAAGACCTCCCAGAGTAGCAAACAAAGGAAGCACTGAAATCAGGAACGAGGAGTACAAAGTAGTGGGATACTTCCTGTATTGCAAGCCAGGCAACTTTTGCTTTGATGCTCACATGCTTTCAGCTAGATGGAAAGTGGATGCAGCAGATAAGGCTCTTGAGGGTCCTGATCTGAATTGCTTTGAGGTGAAAGGAGAAGGGGTGCAAATGCAAGGTCATCAGAACAGGTAACAGGGAGATGAAAATCCTTGTGACCATCCTTTTCCACAGGTCTGCTCTTTAATTCTTTTGGTCACTCAAATGAACATTCAAGGAAACACAGCAAAGAAGAGGAATTATCACCAAATATCCTGTGGATATACAAAGAGTGAAACACACAGCACATAATCCCTGCTTTAGCAAGAGAAAAACTGGGGTGGGGGGGTAGGGGAAGGCTTCTAAACTAGTGGCAGTCACAAGAAATCTCTGCTGCCTGGACATAAAAATGCTGTGTCTGGTCTCCTAATTTCCTGGAGAGAGGACAGGGGGGAGCTGTCCCTTTAAGGCATTATTCCTCTTATGACGACCCTAGTGGTCTTGACAGTCTTTGAGCCTTGTCATTAATTTTCCATAAAGCACAGTTTCTCCATAAGCCCCCTTTCAGGCAAGGCCTGATGCTTCAGAAACCTATAATTATTCTTGGATCTCACCCCCTGCAGTCCTTGCACCTGTGTCAGTTCGAGATACCAGCTGGTCAAGTCTTCCCTTCTGCCTCTGAAATACAAAACCACCTCATCAAGCCCATTTCTCTTTAAAAAAGGAAAACAGGAGCAGAGAAATATCCTGGACATACACAGAAAACAAAAACAGCGGATGAGAGAAAGCCACAGCTTTCTAAAATGAAAAAGAAAGGGGGAAAAAAAAAGAAAGACAAAATAAACCCATGCTAGACAAGGTTTCAATCTAAGACCGCATGGGTGAGTGACATCCAGGCGGGGTGCATCCCTTACAGCCTTCAAGCAACCTTCACTAGCTTGCAGGCTCTTGCAAGGATCCAGACATGTTCATTTGTTCACTTTTTAAAAGCCTGTAGGTTTTTAATGGTATGGAGACAGTAGGATGTTGATCAAGGGGAAGTGAAAGGGGGAAAAACGTTCAGGTGACATTTTTAATTGTGCCATTATTTCAAATTCCATCAAGGAGTGTTTTTGGCAAGGGGGATGTTTGCTGTCTCAGGTTTTCTCAAATCTGAGAAGAATTGCCAACATAGCTTCAGTCCTGTGCACAATTAGAAGTCACTAAGCATCAGCGAACCTTTCAAGTCCTAACTCCAATTCAGGATTCTACAAGGAGCATTGTCACTCTGCCATGTTCTTAAAAATCATACATTGATTATATGCAGCCGAAGAGGTAAATTACTTTCATGATTCCCCCCCCCCCAACATGGCCCACTGTGTGTTATACTTTGCCTATGCTTTTGGGGAATCCCTAGAGGCATTTTATTAAGACAACAACAAGGGTTACCAAATACTGCTATCCTTTGAATCCCAATTCCTGTCCTGTCTGCTATTTCCCTATTTGACAGGTTCGTGCTTATTCATTCATAAAAAGGATTCCTCCTTCCCATGCAATTACAGTATGTAGCATGATCAACACCATACATAACATTCTTAGCCTGAAAGTGTGAGTGAAAATAAGATCAGATGGTTGAGACTGTGTTATAAACCAGATGCGATGACGTCACACAAACATTCACAAATCACAAATAAAGCATGAGAAAGAAATGCCACAGTGTTAAGAGGTTTTCCATAAATAAGATATTTGAAACATGTTTAATCATCTGTTACACTCATGGTTTGAAGTTGGCTGGTTTTAAAAATTACCCTAGTTAGTGACACAATTCACAATGTCCAGCCTGGACATCACAACAAAAAACACCTCATGGAAGAAGCCCATGTTGGATGTTTGGGAAGAGCGGGAAGGAGGCAGAGCACATAATCCTGGCTCTCACTGTGGATGCATCACCAGACCATAGTTCAGCATGACATGAGTTCTGCCATTGTATCTAAAACAGATACTGAAAAGACCATGTATGACACCAGCTAACTCAAAGTGACCTGGAACTTCATGAGATGCTCAAGTAATTTTCTTGTAGGTCTCTTGTAGTCCAATTTCTGCAAATCTTCTTCCTTACTCCCAAGTGGGTTTGCTGGCAGCAACAATATAAAGGATTATGAAAAGGGTTTCTGTAGTTCAGGTGTGACAGCTTGTGCTTCAGAATTTAGCCTACTAATGCTGCCCTAATTCCAAACTGATCTTTAAATCTGCAAGGGAAAGTCATTGATTTATTTACTCCAAAGGCTCATTAGCAGAGGATCACCGTCCCTTCCAAACGTCCACTACACAACCACACTTTCACATTACAGTACGCCTGAGTAAAGCAAAGGAAGATA